AGCACACACACACACACACACACACACACACACACACACACACACTCATCTCACACATGCACCCACATTCGCCACACAAACACACATGCATATACACATCTCCGTATGCACACATAAGCAAACACACACACACACATACAAGCACATACAAACACACACAATCATGCGTACACTCAAACTCCTGCAAACACAGATACATACACCTTAAACAACATTGGCCTCCTTTCGTATCCATTTTTAGTTCCATTTTAATCCATTTTTAATTAATTTCTCTGAGCAACACAGAGAAAAGTGTTCAAATAATAAGTATAGGAGTCAATGAATTTCTCACTACTTACGTAGTTTTTCATCTTACCATATTGACTACATTCAACATAACATTTTCCCATGCCATTAAATATCCTTCAAAAACCTAGAGTTTCATTTCTGCATATCATTTCACCATATGAATGTATATATATTGTTTAACAATTCTTTTGTGGGACACTTCAGGCTGTTTCTAGTTTTTAAGTATCGTAAATAGCTCAGCACTGAATATCCTTGGTCATAAATCTCTGTCCACACTTCTGAAGATGAATTGCTAAAGCAGAAACCCTGGGTCGCAGGGTAGCAGTGTTCTAAGTGGATCACCACACTGCCCACGAGCTCTGCCTGGCGAGCCCCCACTCAAAGGCTGATTTGCTCCGGAAGTCCTGAAAGGTGACCTCGACTTCCATGACAGGGGCGCCCCCCTCCCCGTTTTGAGCTCACTCTTGCCTCCTGGGATCTTGCTTTACCCTCAGCTGTGGGAGGTGGAGGAGACTTTCTGTCCTTGGAAAAGCCATTCTTTACTTGAATTGTTTTTTCTTTGCCTCTTCCAGAGGTGTTACCCCACTGGAGTCCCCCTGCCTTGGGTGGGCCCTTAGGAGGACCCTTCAGAGGCCGCCTGTGCCAGGCAGAGGCATATCCCCACGGAGAAGCCTTCCCTTCCGCCCCTACCCTGGCCTTAGGAGGAGAGGCGCAGATTCCCCACCAACATATCAGCAGCCACCACCAAGTGCCACTGAGGGATGGAAGAGGAGGGGGACTCAATGCTCTTCCATGTGATTCTGGGCCTCAGGGGACTCAGGCTCAGGCCTGGGAGTTCACCTGTTACTTACCAGGCAGGTGTCAGAAGACAACATCTGACCGTCTGTGAGAACACGAGCGGAGTGCCTGGGGAAGGCAAGCAGCCATGTTCCCCAAATGTCAGCCATTGTCATTGTCATCTGGAGGCTTCTGGTCAGGAGTAGGCCCAGCTGAGCCAAAGCTGACCTGACGCACACCTGGCCTCCAAGAGGCTGTCAAAGCAGGTGGCTCTGGAGTGTGCTGGAGAAGCTGAGGAGCGTGGCGGGTGTGAAGTAGCCTGCCTGACCCTTATGCAGCACAGCTGAGGCCAGTTCCCAGATCCCAGACCCTAGACCCTAGACCCTTAGACCCCAGACCCCAGGCCCGAAGGACCCCAGACATACCCGCCTTCCTGGGCAACCCAATAGATTGTACATGTACTCAGTACCACAGATGTCCAGCAGAGGGAAGCAATGAGTCTTAGGCCAACAAATTTGTCTATTACAACAATTTTCCAACAGATGCTAGTTCAGCTCTTGAAAAGGGCATATTTTAAAAGACTGCTGAAAAGCCCCATCGGCTGATAGAAGGTGGGGCAGAGGGCATACCTGGGAGGAAGAGCAGAGTTTGGGTGGATGGGACCATCCATCAGGAGCTGGAGTCAACTCTGGGGTCTAGGCAGTTAATCCAGGGTGGGTGTGGATACCTGGGAGAAGGACAGGGTGGGTTCCATGGGGAGTAGAAACAACCAGGAGTGAAGCCGGGGAAGCAGGAATGTTCTGGCTGGTCCAGCTGGTAACAGCGGAGGGACTGAAAGGGGCTTAGGAGCCATAGCCCCATCAAGGTGGCAAGGCTGGGGCAGAGAGTGAGGTGGAGAGCCTTTTGGGGGGCTCAGCTCTAAGAGTGCCTTGTCTGCCGGGCTTGGTGGCTCAGCCGGTAATCCCGCGCCTTTGGGAGGCTGAGGTGAGTGGATTGCCTGAGCCCGGGGTTTCGAGACCCGCCTGGGCAACGAGACCTCATCTCTACAGTAAATCAAAAAATCAGCCAGGCGTGGTAGCACATGCCTGTAATTCCAGCTACTTGGAAGGTTGAGGCGGAAGGATCACCGGAGTCCAACAGGTCGAGGCTGCGGTGGCCGGGAGCGGCCACTGCACTCCAGTCTGGGTGACAGAGTGAGACTCCAACTCAAATAAAAAATTAAAAAAGAGTGACTTGGCAAAGGAGGAGGTTGCAAGCTGACTTTGTGGCGGGACTCCAGACACTGTAGATGGGCAGTGTCTGGGTTTCACAACCTGGGGACATTGGGTCTCTTGGGAAGTCACCCAGGTAGTCCAACGGAGTGGGAGTGGGAGACACAGACCCCATGGGTACCACGAGGGGAGATGCTGAGGTGGCCCTCAGGAGGCTGGCGTGGCAGGAGCCTCAGACCATGAGAGAGCTGAGGCTTCCTGTAGCAGGAGCCAACAGGCAGCAAATGGCAAGGCACGAGGGGCAGATTGGGAAGGCCAGGACAGGGACGGGCCGAGGCCACCATGGGAGGAGGACCCCATCCCTGCAATGAAAATATCACCCCATCCCAAAGTGGCTCTGGCCACATCTTTGCGGCTGTGAGAGCTGCTGCCTCCCTCTTCGATGTTCACAAATATCCTCACAATGAACTCCCTGTCTCAGGAAGGTATCTGAGCAAATCTTTCTTCACCAAAACAGCCCACAAAGGAGGCCAGCATGGGCTAGTCAGACCTGCAGGACAGCAGGAGGGCACCTCAGAGCTCATGCAGGATCATTGTCTAACAATTAAGGCCTGCCTCATAAACTGTGCCACAGATACAGTAGTGTGTTGCACAACTATGAAAACTTACATGCTGTACGAATATGAGAGGGGGAACCCCCCCAAAAGGAATTGTTTTTTTGGAGGGTGGGCCTCTTTCAGGATAGGCCTCCCCCACGAGGTAAGTGTTTTAGGAACCCATTGGCATCAGTGTAGTGTTGTGAAAGACTGAGTTTGGCTTCAGTGCATTTTTTTTGGAGATTCTTTCAATGTGTTTGCCCATTTCATGATGGGTGATTTACGAACGCACCCGCCTACACCGCGCTAGGTGTTCAGCAGCTTTTGACCAAGAACAGCATGGCCCCCAGACTCCACCCTCCCTATTCACCTGATGTTGACCCGAGTGATGTTTTTGTTGTTATGGTTTTATTGAATGAAAAAAGTCCTCAAAGAGAAACATATTTGCTGACATAAAAGAGGTGAAACAAAAAATGACAGAAGCACTAAAAGGTATCAAAATCGACAAGTTCAAAAACTATTTTGAGCAGTTGGTAAAAGCATCTTGATAGGTGTATTGCATCAAACAGAGGGTACTTTGAAGGTGACTGGAGTTTATACATGTAAAATACATAATAATTTTTAGAAGTAAATTCTGGGGCTTTTGGGGACCTCCCCTCAATAAGATATGAGTTATCAAATTTAAAAACAGGCTACAACCCAATATACAGAGTAGGATCCTATTTTTGTTTGAGGGATGGATACAGACAATTGGAAGGAAAGATAGATCCCAGATGGTAATGGTGATTGACTTTGTGCCGGAATTTCATGTGACTGAACATTTTCTTCTGTCCTGGTCTGTAGTTTCATATCTCCCCACAGTGTATGCAAACATTTGTTTAATAAGAAAAGCAAATAACGTTCTCTCTCTTTTTTGTCAACATCTGGTTTTAACAAGCAGGTCCCTTGACAGGCACTTGAGACAGAGAGAAAGCCAACATCCTCCTCCCTAGACTGTGTTTTTGCAGTCTCTCCAGACCAACATCCAGACATTTGGGCGACGGTAGTCCAGCAAGCTCACGCAGAGCCTCCAAGGGGAATAAAATGTTCACAGGCCTTTCCTTTGACCAATTCAGGTGACACATCTTTCCAAAATTGACGGCGACATTGCCCAGACTACCCTGGAAATCACACAGACCAGCTGTAGGCTGGACGTGCACCGGAAGACGCTCGCCGAGCTGGACCAGGAGGTGAAGAAAGTCAACGAGCTCATCACCAACAGCGAGAACGAGATCTCCAGGCGCACAATCCTCATCGAGAGGAAGCAGGGGCTCATCAACTGCCTCAACAAGCAGCTGGAGCAGATGGTGTCTGAGCTGGGGGTGAGTCCACGGGCCATGGTCTGGGTGCCTGGCGGGGTAGAGGCCCCTGCAGAGCCGCCTATGGTTAGAAACGAATCCGCAGAAAACACAGTCACCTACTCGCCTTACAAACAGGCCGGCAGATGTGCGGAGCCCTATGAGTCAGGGCCAGAGGGGAGAGATTTCAGGCTCAGCTGGTCTCTGAGGCAGTGACTCTGCTCTGCCTCTGTGGTGAGGAAGGAGCCGTGGGCAACATGTAAAGGAACAAGCGTGGCTGTGTCCAATCAGATGTCATTTATGGCCACTGACATCTGGGTTCCACATCAGTTCCCCCTGGCACGAGCTCATCTGCTGCTCTGAGAAGTGGTGTCATGCATTTCAGGCTTGATGCCCTATACATGATCTAGGTCCCTACACCCTCAGGACCCTCCCCCCAGAGGCTGCAAGTCCCTGAGTGGTATGGGCACCTGGGGCTGAGCTCCTAGCTAGGCCCAAACACTGAAGATTCTCCTTTTGTTGTTCTCAAAGCCACATAGCTGGAAAAATCCTGAGGGAGTAAAGTCCCTGAGCTCTAACCGGGCTCGGTGGCTCAGCCTGTAATCCCGCGCCTTGGGAAGCTGAGGTGAGTGGATTGCCTGAGCCCGCAGGTTCGAGACCCGCCTGG